GCCGTGAGGAGGAAAGTGGTTGCCGCGTTCACATTGAACGCACGACCCAAGAAGTCCGACTGTATGGCCCCGAACAAAGCCTCAAAGTGGCGGATCGTCTACTGAAGGCAGGCGATGAAAAGCAATGAACAGTAGCGAACCTCGCTCCTAGTAGCGATGCCAGGAGCCCCTAGTAGCGAACCTTGCTCCTAGTAGCGATGCCCTTTGTTCCTAGTAGCATTCTTGTTCTTTGTCTTTTTAGACATATTTTGAACATGTTTGCTAACCTTCCATCATGGAGTGGGTGAGTTGTCACATATGGTTCACTAGTCCTTCTCTCTCTTCTGTGAGGAGTTAACGGAAGAAACCGATGTGCAGCAAGTGGAGGGCATGCTCTCACCTGAACTCCTGGAACAAGTGGCTCTAAGACAAGGAGTCACTTTGCGAATGCGTGAGACCTGCATCGAAGTGCTGGGCAGGAAAGCAGCCACTCGAGCGGCAGCGGCTGAACTGGAAAAACTCATCAAAGATCCAACGACCAAGACGGAACACGTCGGAATTTCCGCTCACGTCGGAGTCCGTTCACAAAGCCCAAAGTCGTTTGAAGCGCCTCTTCGTGTGAAAAGCTCAAGACCCGACCGTCAGGGATCAAACCAGACATCCAGCTACCGTAGCTGTGCTGCGCAGCGTTGTCCCACTTGTGGCTGCGGACGCTTTTGTGGGAGCTGTGGTGCCCCCGTGTGGAACATGCCGCTGGGCGTCGTCGGCACCGTTCTCGGCACCATTAGCACAGCTCCGTTGGGCATTTCAGCTTCAGCGGGGCCTCTGGGGCCACCGGTAAATCCAGCGCACTGTGAAGAGGAGAGCCCAACTGCAGTGCACACACCGGATCCTTGGCCTCCAACCTAGTAGCAATGGCCTCCAACCTACGTAGCAATGGCCTCCAACCTACTAGCGATGGCCTTCAACCTACTAGTGATGGCCTCGAACCTAGTAGCCACGGCCTTGAACCTACTAGCAATGGCCTCCAACCTAGGATCCTGCAGATGATTGCCCGCAAGCGATGATGTTCCCGATGATGATGCAGCAAGCCCCCTATGTGATTGTGCCTGCGGACGCAGGCAAGAATTCACTAGAGTTTGTTTGTTTGCGATTGCTTGACTTTTGTGGATTCTTAAACTTAAATTTGAACTCCTGCACAATCTTTTTGACCGTTGGAGGCCCTAAATGCGGTTAGCGTCTGATTTTGAACCCTTCATTTCGAAATACTAGAATGCCCAAAATTGTGGTGCTTCTTGTTACTACTAGTAACAAGTGCCACGCTAGTAGTAACAAGTGCCTTACTAGTAGTAACAAGAAGCTATTACTTTAGGTCCATGGTTCAAGTTTGATGTAATGTTTTGTTTTGAAGCTCTTCCCAGGGACCCATGGCAGTTGGGGCGGCCCATGTTGCCCAACATCTAATTTTTTTGTGACCTTTCTTGGGTTTGGTTGGTATTTTAGTTGCGCCCTTTCCATTTTTAGTTGGCTATTCTGATGGACACTTTACCAGCAAAGAAGCAATATATAAATATACTAAACGGCTTTGTATAGCGGAAAAACCTATCCCTTCGATTTTTTGAATGTTTGTTTTGTTTGTCCACGTGGTAAGAATTGTCCTAGGTGGTTTAGAAGTAGTTCCGAGCGACCTTGGCTGGTTTCCTCCTTTGGGACCGCCTATTTTGCGGAGACCCTATAGCTCGACTGTAACCTGTAGTCACTGTAGTCCTTATCAGCAGGGCCGGATACTGTTGCTCCCTTGCTTCTTTCGTTCGTGCCCCATGTTTGTTTGCTGCCATCGCTATTGGGTTGGAGGCCATCGCTAATTAGGTTCCAGGCCATTGCTAATTAGGTTGGAGGCCATTGCTACTAGGTTGGAGGCTATTTGTTGATACCTTTCTAACTGCTCTCAAGATGCTTTGGCATGTTGATGTGCAAGTCCAGAGAAGATGAGGAAGGCTGTAGCAGTGCTATCGTCAATGCCCTCTCGCTCTCTTCCTTGTTTTTTGGACGCTGTACCTTGTTGTATCGTGATAGGTGTTGCTTCGAGTTGCTTCTGCGAGGCCAGATGGGCTGGCATTACAATTCCTACTGATCTCGAGCTCAGGTTGTTTGCAATCAATTCATGCCGTTCTTTCCTTGGACGTGTTCCCTTTTTGTCGCTCAAATGGCGACGTGCTGTACAGAAAACGTATGTGGCTCTGACACAACTGAGCGGAGCAACGCTCGTTGGAGCTCATTTGTCTCAAAGCTGGGCGCTGCCAACAACTGACAGCCAAGTGTAGCGATGACCTCCAACCAGTCCAACTGGCAGTGCCGGCGCCTGTGACGGACTTCGGTTCCGAATTTTGAGAAATACCCGAATGGATTTCACAAGTCTGTCGATGTCGGAGAGTAGATGGAGTGCTGTGACAGTCGCACATTTTCAGGCTGGCTGAAAAAGCAGAGCCACCAATTTTCTTCCGGCTGCGGGAAAGGACACAGAATGAGACGTTTTTGCCAGCAGGCATTCATATCATCACATGTTTTGGTCATTTTGACCAGACAATGATTGGACAATGATTGGACAATCTAGAAGCACATCAATCATTCGGTTCTTCCGCCCATCCTTTCGCGTAGGATTGCTCAGTGCTGTACACACTGAGATTTGCTGACAGAAAAGCGAACGAAATCACTGCGATGTCAAAAAGAAGTTCTGAAACAGGTACAGTAAGAATGGCTTCTTGTTAGCAAGAATGCTCCTAGTCTCCTAGTAGTAAGGCCAGGAGCGTAGCTTCTTGAGACTAGTCTTTGGCGTTTCTATAAAGCGCAATCAGACACATTATTTGCTCGTTTTGGTCGTGTGTAGTATAGTGAGGCCTCCAACAATAAAGAAGCACTGTCCGGTGTCACCGGTCGTGACCTAGTAGTGGCAGGCTTGAAACTTCAGAATGGTTTCTGACAACAAAACAAGAAGTCTTCTATATAGAAATAGCAATAGTGATAGAAATAGCGATGGCCTCCAACCTATAAAGGAAGAAGTCTATAGTCTATAAGTGATACAAGAAAGGTAAGGGTTTAGAACTGCCCACTTGAAAGGGGCCTTGTCTGAGGAGTCTCGCGATGGGCACCGTGGGCAGCGTGGGCCTATGGTCTTTTTCTTATTGTGATCAAGCTTTGCGAGGTCATCGTCTCGACATGTTTGTCTCGCAAGCAAACACATCGATTTGGTTGTGCGACACATGTTTCTACCGCTCCACAAATGTGGTCACTCCGTAGTTGCACTCGTTCGTGCTTTTGTTCGTTTCCAAAGCTTTTTTTTCAAGTTGGCAAGCTGGGCGCAGAATCTGTGACTTAGTGGTGCCTCGCAGTGATCGCCAGGTCCAGGTGTCTTTCGCCAGATTCCCGTTCTATCTGGGTCCAATTGGACACTGGTTGGATCGCCTACCTTCCCATGTGGCTTTGACATAGATGTAGCATGATGTAGCCACCTTTGCCCTCTTTGCACTCTTTCATGCAGCGACAGGATTGGCATCAATCTTTAAGTCTTTTATGTCTGCGTCTCATCTCATTCAACATGGAGACTTGGATCTATTTGGGACTGTGTATTCGATGGATCCAGTGAGCCTTTCACAGAGAGAGAGAGAGAGAGATGCAGAAAGGGACAAAGGACCGAAGAAAAGAAGCGCCGAGATGTTACATGCTACCGAGTGGGGAAGGAGGGAAGAGAAAAGGCATAGAAAGGCCAAGAGTGCCATTTGCGCCAGACGAGTGATTCATTCCACCCTCAAATGATAATAGTAGTGGCCTCCACCCTAAGAGCGATGGTCTCCACCCCTCAAATAATACAATGGTGTTTTGTGATGCTGCATTGAGAATGACATTGCCGCTCAGGATTACTATTGGAAGCTGAAGGACAATGACATGACATGAGTGTGCTTGAATTAGAATGTCTTTGTAGAATTCTGCTCAATGCTTACATATGAAAAGCCTACATGCTTCATCATGCTTCTAAATGAAAAGCCTTAGGAGCAAGAAGCTACTAGGGACTCCTGGCATCGCTACTAGGAACAAGAAGCTACTAGGGGCTCCTGGCCTTACTACTAGGAGCAAGAAGCTACTAGGGGTTACTAGAAACTACTAGGGTAACAAGTGCATCCCTAGGAGCAAGGGAAAAAGCAAGATTCACAGGCAGCTCGTCCGATGCGGCAACGAAGTGTCTCGTCCGTCCGGTGACCTCCCGGCGCGTCTCCCGGCGCCGTCGAGTGCCCCGTCCGTTCGTAGCGTCCGATCCCTCCGTTCGTAGCGATGCCCTGACCGCTCCGTTCGTAGCGTCCTCTTGCTCCTAAGAGCGATGTCCTTTGCTCCTAGTAGCTTCTTGTTCCTAGTAGCGATGCCAGGAGCCCCTAGTAGCGTCCTCTTGCTCCGTTCGTAGTAAGGCCAGGAGCCCCGTTCGTAGCGTCCTGGCCTTCTTGGAGGCCGTTGCTACCAGGTTGGAGGCCATCTCTAGTAGGTAGTGGGAAAGACAAAGGATCTCACGATGCTTAACAGATGTCTACAAGGTCTTACGGAGTCTTACTGTTTATTCAAGTTCCTGAAAACCGAACTGTTTCGCTCATGCGAAGGGTTCTCCAGTTGAACCCAAAGAAACTGAACTATACGCGTTGCATGCCAGTTGGCTTCTTAGCTTCCTTTCGAGTTTAGTAGCTGGCGACCCAGCTTCCAATTACCTTCCCCTTCGTTTATACATGAAACCACAAATGAATGCCTGCAGGGGTGGTCACTTCTCTAACGGAATTTGCAAGTCTAGATTGGGATCTATGTGCTTGATTTTAGACATTTTTAATATCAACGAACTCGCCAACAGGCAGACGCTTCCAAAGCAAAGCTGTCCGCCTTTCACTACAAGATGAGGCAAATACTTTGTTTTTTTGGCAGCGCAGATATTTTTTCTTGTTTGCCCGTGCTTTTTTTGTGTCGATACATGCAACTTCAGTGTGATCTTCATGTTCTACACCAATCTGTCCTGGAAAAGCATAGGAAACTCACACTGCACTTTCAACGTTGGTTTCTGCAGGGAGCAGCAGCCACGAGAAGTGGAAGAGTACGACATTTGGACTTGTTTGGCCTATTGCCTTTACTCGCCACTTTGGTTGGCTGGGCCGACAACTACTTTCAATGCTTTCACCTCGCATCTTCGTGACAGGCGCATCGGAAAAGAGCCAAAGATTCACTTTTGCATCGAAAAAAGAGGAAACAAGTAATAGTAAAGATGCAAAGGGCATCGCTACTAGGAGCAAGGACGCTACTAGGGGCTCCTGGCCTTACTACTAGGAGCAAGAAGCTACTAGGAACAAGATGTTTACCGTTTTGTTTGCCACTCCCGTATGCTTTGTGTTCTTTTTTAAGGTCTCAGGAAGCCATCCGTGGCTGGCGCCTCGTGGCATACGCTTTACGCTTTGTGTTCTGCCTTGGACTCTTGGAAATCATGTTGCTGAGATCGAATGAGATATGTGTTTGTTCATGGTGTTTTGCATTTGTTTGGGAGGAAAACAAAAACACACATTGTGATGACTTGCTGATTTCTTCCGTTTAATCCAAATACCAATTTCTACAGGTCTTGTGATTCAGGCAACGCACGCAACACACTACAGTAGCTTTTTTGATCAGGAGAGACTCCGCTAATCCAAGCTGGGGATCACATGAGCTAGGGGCTCCTGGCATCGCTAATAGGAGCAAGGACGCTACTAGTTGCCTAGTGACAACAAGTCCTTCTTAATAGCGATGGCCAACAACCTACTTCCAACCTAGAAGCGATGGCCTCCCTTCTTGGTTAGGCTTCATTACTCCCCAGTTTGGGCAATCGGACGATCATCTCTTTATTTGAAAGTTCAGCGACCAGATCTCCTAGCGCTCCTTGGCAGATGACCGAGCAATGTGGAGCAATGTGGAGCAAGCCTTGGGATTTGGCTTTGTCCATTTCACAGGTCATATGCCATGATGATGCTAATTGTGAAGTCCTCAGCTGGAAAGGACAGTTGACTAAATCTGGAGGCTCAAACTTGGCCCAGGCGATGTGGATGAAGTTCCTGTGCATTTGGCGATTTGCACGCTTGTGGGCCCTTTGCGATGGCATCGAAGTTGTTGAAAACATGCAGCGGTGTATTTGTATCTTGGTATCAACAGAAAAGTACTGTTCTACCCTTCTTGTTTGGTCTTCTATTCATTGCTGGCGCAATCAGTGTCCACGATTTTTCGGTACACCGTTTACACCGTTTACACCGTCTACACCGTCTACACCGTTTATACCGTCTACACCGTTTACACCGTCTACACCGTCTACACCGTTTACGCCGTCTACACCGTTTACACCGTTTACACCGTCTACACCGTCTACACCGTTTACACCATCTATACCGTCTACACCGTTTACACCGTCTACACCGTAATCAGCATAACCAGCGTAAGCAGCGTGACCAGCATAATCGCCGTAACCGGCGTAATCGGCGTAACCAGTGTAACATAGTGTAACCAGCGTAATCGACGTTTTAACCAGCGTAATTGGCGTAGCCAGCGTAAGCAGCGTCATCAGCGCAGCTAGCCACCGCCAGCGTACCAGCTTGCAAACCATTCGCGGACACGCTTTGCCACGTCGCTCGACTTCCAACTTGTTGCCTCGTTGGTTGAGAATCACAAGGCGTACGGCATAAAGCACATGTTCAAGATGGCCCTGTTCTTCTTTGCTGGTTTCTTGCTTTGCAAGTTGATACCATTAGCTGAGGCAATAACTATTGCATCACCAGCTTCTGGCGCGGATGGCATCTTCTCAGCAGTTGCGCGACTTTTTGTTTAAACGTGCAGCAGCCTGAAGCGTTGCTTTATTCTTTGAGTTCTTTCGATGAACACTGAGGCATGTGAGTTTCAACCGGTGGCTGATTCGATATTTGTATATCCCCTTGGGTGGCCAGAAGCTGGATCCTCACCGCGGATTGAAAGACAATCTTAAAGAGTGAGGCATATTTGTCAGATTTGGAGTTAAGTTGTCCTTTCCTTTTTTCATGGCCTCCACCCTACTTGCGATGGCCTCCACGCTACTTGCGATGGCCTTCAACCTACTTGCGACGATGGCCTCCAACGTACTAGCAAACCATACTAGACCTTTCTTCCTACATAGTAAAACAATTTTGTTCGAGACAAGTGTCCCAAGGGAATGGTCAGCAGGACCATTGATTCTTTAAAGCCCTAGTCCAAGGTATCGCATGGTGAACGTGTGGCTCGTTTTTGGTTTCGTTGCCACTTGGACGGAATTCCAGTGAGAACACTTGAACAGTCTTAGGTTGCTCGAGTTGAGGTTCAAGAAAGAGGTCTACTTCAATCCCTTAAAAGAGCAAGAAACGTTGAGGTTCGTTCTTGTTCCTAGTAGAAATGCCCTTGTTACCAGTAGCTTCTTGTTACTAGTAGTAAGGCCAGGAGCCCCTAGTAGCGTTCTTGTTCCTAGGGTTTCAGTCATGGGGCCCATAGGGCCTGACCAAACTGAGGCTGTTTGGCACGATGCTGAGCTGAAGCTCCTCGCTTGGGGCATGCTCAATGCTCTCTTCATGGTGCGGTCCAGATCAAAAAACACAAACTGCAAGAAGCTGAGGGCCTTACTACTAGTAACAAGGGCATTACTACTAGTAGCTGAGGGCATCGCTACTAGGAGCAAAGGTCATTTCTTCTAGGAGCAAGGATGCTACTAGAAGCTCCTGGCATCGCTACTAGGAGCAAGGACGCTGCTAGGCTCGGACCGCTGTGTCCAGGTGGGTGAGTCGTTGGCTGCGTGTCTTTGGCGAAGCAAGGTATTGACCTGAGCACTTGACAGCACTGAGTAGTGCACTTTTCGTGAAGGCGTTTTCGTGAAAGTCGGTGCCAAGACGGTAAGAAGTCGGACATGCGAAGACAAAATGCACTTGTTACTACTAGCGATGCACTTGTTACTAGTAGCTTCTTGTTACTACTAGTAAGGCACCTGTTACTACTAGCGAGGCACTTGTTACTACTTGTTTAGTACACTTCTTGACTTCGTGTCGTTGCATGACACTTCTTCCATACAACTTCCATGCCAATGCCTGCTCTTGAAGCGGCAGGCATTGGCATCCGTGAGATCTTTGCCCGAAGCGGCGAGGCAGGAGTGTTCGCACTGCAGGGCTCAGGCTTTCCCACAAAAGCGACGCTTTCGATTGAGGATTTGAGAGTTGGTGATTTTTGTTACTAGTAGCTTCCTTGTTCCTAGTAGTAAGGCCAGGAGCCCCTAGTAGCGTCCGATCGCTCCGTTCGTAGCGATGCCAGGAGCCCCTAGTAGCGAACATGGTTACTATATATATATAGTAGTTCTAGAAACACCAGTGTGTTTAACATGTCATGTCGCAGCAACTCTGGGACACCTGGACCTGAGGAAAACATGCTTTTGGCAACATGCACTTGTTTCTACT